AAATTTTTTTTTTAAAATTGAATAACAGAAAATCAGAATACATGTAATCTTTGAGATATGCTCATAGCAATGCTGATGTAGTATATGTATACATTACGAAAGAGGTCTAAAGGTTTAAAATCAATAAGCTATATGTTCATCTGAAAATGAGACTAGAAAAGAGAAAGCAAAGTGAACTGAAGAAAATAAAAAATTGTACTTAGTAAAATAAAAATCAGAAAACAGAAAAATCATCAAAATGAAAGCTTTACAAATAAAACTGGTAACTACAGCTAGAATGATGAAAAGAAGAGAGGGCACAATGACCAGCACCAGGGTATCACTGTAGAGACTATAGACAGACGATACAGACACACTGGATAGCAGGCAGAGGTTACAGACAGACCAATGGGCAGATGATTACAGACGATACAGACACACTGGATAGCAGGCAGAGGTTACAGACAGACCACTGGCAGATGATTACAGACGATACAGACACACTGGATAGCAGGCAGAGGTTACAGACAGACCACTGGCAGATGATTACAGATGATACAGACACACTGGATAGCAGGCAGAGGTTACAGACAGACCAATGGTCAGATGATTACAGACGATACAGACACACTGGATAGCAGGCAGAGGTTACAGACAGACCAATGGGCAGATGATTACAGATGATACAGACACACTGGATAGCAGGCAGAGGTTACAGACAGACCAATGGGCAGATGATTACAGACGATACAGACACACTGGATAGCAGGCAGAGGTTACAGACAGACCACTGGCAGATGATTACAGATGATACAGACACACTGGATAGCAGGCAGAGGTTACAGACAGACCAATGGGCAGATGATTACAGACGATACAGACACACTGGATAGCAGGCAGAGGTTACAGACAGACCAATGGGCAGATGATTACAGATGATACAGACACACTGGATAGCAGGCAGAGGTTACAGACAGACCACTGGCAGATGATTACAGACGATACAGACACACTGGATAGCAGGCAGAGGTTACAGACAGACCACTGGCAGATGATTACAGACGATACAGACACACTGGATAGCAGGTGGATACTATGAACGATCTCATGACAATGACATAAAAGGAACTTTAGATAAAATGGACAATTCTTAAAGACATGAACAACTAAATACCCTGATGATATATTAGATAATTGGAACAGCCATTGAAGAAATTTAGTTTGTGGTTGAAAACTGCCCAACGACAAATCTAAGTGAGATGGTTGAAGTGGAGAACTCTAGTCAACATTGACAACCCTGTACAAGTCTATGCAGACCTGACACAGCAGAGGAGGAAACACTTTTGAGCTCATATTATGAAGAAGGCACAAGACTAACACTGACATATGTCAGGGTTATGAAAACAGAACAGTATATAAAAACTATAGGAGAATACAGTAATATAGAAGAACACACCAATATCTGATAATACAAATAAAGGTGTAAAAATCTGTACCAAAATCTTATCATCCTCACTGGGTGGTGGTGGCACACGCCTTTAATCCCAGCACTCGGGAGGCAGAGGCAGGCGGATCTCTGTGAGTTCAAGGCCAGCCTGGTCTCCAAAGCGAGTTCCAGGACAGGCGCAAAGCTACACAGAGAAACCCTGTCTCGGGGAAAAAAAAAAAAAAAAAGAAAGAAAAAGAAAAAGAAAAAGAAAAGAAAAATCTTATCACCCTGAATCCAGGAATACATGGTTGGTTTGACCTCTGAGCATGATCATTAATATTAATGCAATACATTAGCATTAAAAACCCTATATATTCTTTTAAAATTTTTTTATTTAAAATTTTTTTCATTTTATATACCAACCCCTGTTCCCCCTCCCTCCCCTTCTCTCGCTCCCCCACTCTCTAGTGTTGTTCTATTACTGTGATAAAACTCCATGACCAAAAAGCAACTTGGGGTTTATGTTATCTTACAAATCTCAGGCTACACTCCATCACTGAAGGAAGTCAGGGCAGGTAGAGACCATGGAAGGGATGCTGATTATTGGCTTGTTCTCCAGCTCACATTCAGATATCTTTCTTACACCTTCCAGGACCACCTGCCCAGAAGTGACATCACCCACATGGGCTAGGCCCCCCCAAACCAACCACTAATCAAGAAAATACCCCACAGGCTTGCTTACAGGCCAGTCTGATAGAAGCATTTTCTCAGTTGTGGCTCTATCTTCCCAGATGAGCCTAGCTTATGTCAAACTGACAAACTAACTAGCACAAGTACACAGAAAAAAATACTTGATAAGGTCAATTCAACACTATTCATGATAATAATATCAGACAATTACACTTTAAAGACTCATAATTATTAGGATGAGGACCTGGAACCGTTCTGTACGGCTGGAACAAAATGTTGCTAGTCACATTGGGAAATTGTTCAGGTTTCCTAGACAGGAAAAAAAAATCTAATGAGAAACCTAACATTATATGAATGTTATGAGACTCAATGCTTTCTTCCATCCCAGAGATGACAAAATGGTATTTGGTACGATTGTCTCTGTTTTTTCATAACCCCAACCTAACCCAGTACTGTTTTATAGGTTCTAGCTAGTATATAAATGTAAAAGATAAGTTAAAGCTTTAGTTGTTGATATATTTATGTAGAAAAATTTAAGAAATCTATGATAAATTAGCACAATTAGTAAGTTTAGAAAGGTCAACATATAAAAAAATAAACATTATTTCTATTAGGTAGCAAAGAAAGGAAATTTAAGAATACCATTTAAGCAGCACAAAACCTAAAATGTTTGGTTATAAATCAAACAAAATACATACAAAACTCAGATTCAAAGCCATAATTAAGGAAGACATTAGTGAGTAGAAGAATGGAAGAATTTTCCAGAATTGGTCTTGAATATAGCTAATATGCCTGTTATCTCCAAAAGGAGCTGCAGGACTCAATGCAGTCCTAAGCAAAATTCCCCTAATCTTTTGTTTGGGGTCAGTCAGGGGTGGGGAAACACAAAATGATAGGTTAATTCTAAAATTTCTACGAAAAGGCAAAGAATTAATGTTATAATAATTTGTAAGAGAAAAATATCAAAAGACTGTACTACAGCATTTAAGACCAAGTATAGAATTAGGCCATGTAGTTATTAAAAGGTAAATAAGCAAAAGATAAAAGGTTCTAGAACAATCAAATACTTATGTTTTAAAAGGAATCTATGTTTGATCCCTAGAACACAGGTAAAAGTTAAATTGAAATGCATCTAGATTTAAACACGAGAGCCAAACTGATGATACTTTTGGAAGAAAATGGGAAATCTTTATGACTTCAGGCTAAAGAAGCATTGGATTTCCTCAAAATAGAAACTTTTCCTTTTCACATGATACTGTTAGTAAAACACAAAGACATGTCATAGGCTCAAATTATCTGCAAAACATATCTGAGTAAGAATTTGTATCCAAACCCGGAGATGGTGGCGCACATCTTTAATTCCAGCACACGGAAGTCAGGGACAGGTGGTCTCTGTGAGTTCAAGGCCAACATGGTCTACAAATTGTACAAGAGTTCTATGACAGCTAGAGTTGTTACACAGAGAAACCCTGTCTTGAAAAACATCATCATCAACAACAACAACAACAAATCCCCAAATAAACAAACAAAATCTGTATCCAAACCTGAAGGTGGTGGCACACACCTTTAATCCCAGCACTCAGGAGGCAGAGGCAGGCGGATCTCTGTGAGTTCAATGCCAGTATGGTCTACAGAGCAAGTTCCAAGACAGGGTTACACAGAGAAACACTGTCTTAAACAACCAAAAAATCTGTATCCAGAATATATAACAACTTACAAATCACCAACAACATAAACCACAGAGTTACAAAAAAACAGAGTAAAAGCTATGAACAAACACTTCACCAAGAAAATGTAGGTTACTGTTTGGATCTACAATGTTCCCCAAGGCTCCTAGGTGGCTCCATTCCCAGCTGCTGGTGGAGAGAGGTGATTGAGTGGATCATGGAGGTGCTAACTTCATTAATAGATTACTCGTTGAGGAGTTCATATTGAATACATAATGGGGTAGGGATGGCTGAAGGAGTGGGTTACTGAGGTGTGTCTTTGAAGTATATCATTTGACTTCAAACCTGTTTTCTTGCTCTCTCTGCTTCTTGGTCACCATGAGGTTAGAAACTTTATTCTGTCAAATGCTTCCTGCCATAACCTTTAGCCTTGCCTCAGGCCTACAATGAGGAGAACAAGGGACCACAAACTAAAATCTCTGAAACTGTGAACCAAAATATTAACCTACCTTGCTCTATGTTGACTTCTCTCAAGTATTTTGCCACAGCAATAGAATGCTAACACAATACATGATAAAGCAAGTAAGCATGGAAATACCCTCAAATTATTTATTGGTGATATTGAAATGAAAACCACAAAGACTCCATTTCACTATGATGGCTCAGCCTGAGAAGAGTCACTGCAAGTGTGAGGATGAGGAATAGTCAGAACCTTTCTACACTGTTGGAGCAAACACTACAGCCACATCGGGAAATGGCATCTCAACATAGCAACCGACAGGTACAACCCAGAAGTCCTACCCTAGGTATTTATCTGAGGGAAATACAAAGCAGAGTCACATAAAGACGTGTGTATGAATGTTTTGTTTTAAGAGTCCACTTATATACAAATCTAGAAAGACAGTAGTTTCCTTGGAGTAGGGTTAAGGGTAGGGAATAGACTTGATGGGGACATAACGGAGTATAGTGATGCAAATATTTTATAAACTGTTGTGACTCATTATTGTGTATGTATTTGTTAGAACTTTTTGGACTTAGATGGTATTTAAATTGTACCTCAAAACTGATAAAAAAAATTGCCAAAATATTAAAAGTGTATTTTCCCATTTGCAAGTAGTAGCTTGTAAAATAATCTTTCAGTTGGGTTGATAACATTTCTTTGCCCTTCATCGGACAAACATCTCAGTGGACACATACATTAGGAGAATGAAGTCAAGTCTTTCCATGACCCTTACCAAGAGTGGTGAGTCCCTCTGAGAGAGATGTGAGAACATACAGAAGCACAGGAGGCTCCAAGTCGGTGATGAAGCTCATGTGGTCCTGGGTGAGACACTCCAGGAGTGGATAGTAAGACTGGCTCAGTTTCCGATATTGCTACACAAAGAGAGAGAGTAAATGTCAAGCCACATGGGCAGAGCAACCCATCTAACTAAATTATTATTTGGTAAATGATTGATTATTTATCATATTCTAAAGACAAGAGACAATTATATGAGAAAATACCTGGGAAATCTCAAACGTAATGTCAACCAGTATCAAGGTATAACACTCATGGCAAATATAACCTAGAGTCGGATGGCACCTAATGAGATTATAACATTTCTATAAGCATGCTTATTCAAGATATGGTTTTCCAACCCCCCCTCCAGACTCACTCAATAAAAAGCTTTGAAGTATGGCCTTGAAATAAGCAATTTTTCATACATGGTAAATACAGTCTTAAGTACCTTCCCAGGTTTGAGAATTATTGATGGTTTGCCTGGAGTGAAATCAGTTTTCTTGGTGGACCACAACTGTAGTGAAAAGTCCTTTCAATGAGACTGAACACGGTAACTGACGATTCCAGTTTCTACTTTGTAATTTCTGTCATATAGGTTTTGTGTTCAATAAACATTTCACTCCACTGTAAGGAGGCTTCACACCCTGGCATGAGGTGTGTTGTACATGAGAGCATTGTAAGATCTAGGCACACTTCTCACACAAGCTCTCCAGATCATTTATGAAACTTCTGGGAGCAGATGGGAAAGTCTCAATTAACCCAATGCTGAATTTCGTTATTTTAACAAGTACTTACTGAAAACACATCAAGCACATAATTGCTACTATATAAATTGGCAGAAATGTTTTAAAGGAAATCTGCTGATGAGATAAGCCAAAGAAGTCTAGAAATTTGCATTTCCAACAAGCATCCCAGACATTTCTGAATGGTTTCAAAGTTTAAAGATCACTGACATATATCACAGAAGCTAAATGTCATAGCACAAAGGGGCCAAAAAATCACATTCTTCAACGCACTCATTTAAACAGTGTGGCTTAGAGAAGTAGAGAGTGATTAACTCAAGGTACATGACTAATGAACAACATTCTATATATCAGTTTAACACTGTCTGCCTTGTCCAAATTTTAATACAAAGGAAGGTCAAGCAGCAAGAAACTAAAGGGTAGAATAAAAGGAAGGGAAAACTCTGCATCCAATCCTGTATCTCCTTTTTTGAATCATGAATATAGCTGAAAGCAATTCACTGACATTACTAAATCTATTTTCATATGAAGAGGCTAGAGCACTTTGGATGATCAAGTAGTTAGAAATGACAGCTGTGACGTTTTTAGCCTGTGCGTTGAATTACATAAATAATTACGAGAGCTGTCCAGGTCTGCTAAGTTTGGAGCAAGCATGCTGTTTTGAAACATAAAATGTGCTGGTGTTTGGATTCCCCGGGTTTTGCTGTAACAATTCCAGGCTGTGGTGCTGGTATTTCACTTTTCACATGAAGAACCCCCCAGGGCACAGCAGTGCTTACCAGCAAGTCACTGTGGGACACTGACAGCAGCATTTTCACAAAGGCCTCGAGTACATTGTCAAAATGGTTGTCCCCATACAACTTGAAGACGCCAAAGCTGACATAATTTCCACATAAGGCAGATTTGAGAGCTGAATAGCAAATGGAGATGCCCTTGAGTTTCATTGGATAAATCTGATCTTTTGAGAGACTCCCAAGAGACAAGATCTGATTTCCTGTTGTAGGGTAAAGGCAGAGAGAAAGTGATAAGGAGATGTACTTCAAAGCAGTTGTGAGACACTGTTCCCCAAGTTGAATCATCCATTATACAAAAAATAAATATACAAGATCATTTACTTGGGAAGAATGAAGAGCCCAAGTCAAAAAATCATTCAAGGGCACTGTGGAAGGTTAGTGGTTTTATTTGGATGGCAATTAGACTGATATATATGTAGACATGAAGAAAACCATGAGAGACACACACTCTTCAGATTAGTTTATGTACTTTAATACAAATGAACTATTAGCCCTTAAATAAACATTTTAATTAAAAAAAAAAGAGGTAGGGTAAGGGGTGGTGAGATGTATCAGTGGTTAAGGACACCTGTTGCCAAGTCTGATGGCCTGAGATCCATCCCTGCATGGTGGAGGGAGAAACTGGACTTCCACACATGCTCTGTGGCTCGTGTGCACACACGAATATATATATATATATATATATATACATACAGAAATGCAAATAAATGAATAAATAAATGTTAAAGAGAAAAAAGAGAAACTGAGTTAGCAAACATAAAAAACAAAAGAGATAGGATAAAATAACCAGCTAAGCAAATCCCAGCACTGGCTGAGGAGCTACAGCATGGGAGAGCTCCTGGGAGAGTGGGAGAGAGTGTTAAGTATTCTCAGTGTGAAGACCCCTGTAGGTTGACCACACGCCAGTACAGGTCCTGCTCCCAAGAGTGCCTGGGTAACAAGCTGTATTTGATAGGGAAGAAGAAATCTCAACTTGAGTGGGAAGAGATTGGAGGGTGGTAATGGGAGATGACGGGTGAATATGTTCAAAATATATTGTATGAAATTCTCCAAGAATGAGTAAAAATATTACTAAAAATAACCAGCTAAGTCAGAAAGAAAAAAAGAAAGCCTAAGATGTAAATGATTCTAAACTCTAGGTTACTTTATTTCTAGGAGCCTCATGGATTTGGAATTAGATGGGACACAGAAATTACTGGCATTATTCAAAATAATCAGTTTCTGATTATTTTTTAGGTCTTAGAAGATCCTGAGATGATTAGTTTAAAATCTCTCCCAAAGTTCTAGGTTATGATGGCTAACCTTGGTTAGCCACTACAACTCAACCGCATTTGGAATCAACTAAAACCCAAGCAGCCAGGCATACCAGTGAGAGTTTTTCTGGATTGGATCATTTAAGGTGGAAGACCTACCCTAAGTCTGGGCCACACCTCCCAGCCTCAACGTAAAGGGCCATGGGAGAAGGAAGCTCTTGCTCTTTGCTTGCCTGCCATTCTTTCACTGGTATTAGAACCTCCTTCTTCAAGATTCCAACACAGATTGAGTACTAGCAGCTTTCTAGGAATCCTCTAGGACACCAGGACCAGACTAGGACTGATGAGATGTCCAGTCTTGTAGACTGAACAATTACCAGTCTTGATAAACCCATCGTGAGGTAGTTATTGTTGGACCACTTGGACTCCAGCCTGTAAACCGTTCTGATAAATCCCCTGTTAATTTATACTAGTCTATCAGTTCTGCTCCTTATTTTTATTTATTTTTTGAGACAGGGTCTATGTCCTGAAACTTGCTCTGTAGACCAGGCTGGCCTCAAACTCAGAGATCGGCCTGCCTCTGCCTTCTGTGTGCTGGAAGTAAAGTGTGCACCACCATGTTCAGTCTGTTTTCAGACAGGGTCTCTCTATAGCCATGGCTGTCCTGGAACTTGGTATGTTGGTATGTCAACTATGTTGGCCTTGAACTCAAGAGAGATCCACCTGTCTCTGCCTTCCAAAGTGCGTGCCACTATGCCCCATAGTTTTGTTCCTTTAGAGAACTTTAATACATATGCTGGCCATTAGCAAGACAAAGAACTGTGTATATAATCACTTTAACATTTCAGTAGTACTTAGCATTTATAATCAACAATTTCTGTGTCTGAAATGTGTTCTGAAAGTGTGCAGCTAAGCAGTATCCAGGAATTCTTTAAACAACAGATATGTTCTTAGCTCTTCTTTTTCCTATTCAAATGAGCACTGCTTGTAAAATCGAAACTAAATTCAATTTCTAAAATTTAGAGGTATAGTATACTTTATTCTGTGCCAACCTGGCTAGGAAGTAGTTCTCAGAATCCATCACCCGGTATGTTTTTTGGTAGCAGTGGCCCCAGGAGCAATCTGTGAGCTCAAGATGGTAGAAGAGAGGCAGCTGCAAGGCTTTCTGAGGGTAGACCAGCAGCGGTGAGGGCCGTGGCACACAACTGCTGGTAGCTCCAGCTGCTCTTTTGTCTTTTCTGTTTTTCTGCTCATAACCACCAACTCTGCTAATAACCTCAAGCCTGCCACCAAATGTGTGGCAGAGGCCACAGCTTCCTATTCCATGCCATCACTTTCCTTCTTATGCCTCATCTTTTCAGATCCTGCTTCAGCTTCTTAGTGCCTAATGTTTAGACTTCCTTGATGGTCCAACACATTCACACATGCCACTATTTCAAGAGAGCTAGTCAGTGGTCTCCCTATCCTCAACCCAACATGGGTGTATAAGATATAATACCTAAATTAAATTTTAATACATTTTAATCTATACTAAATTAGAAGAAAATTTCAGAATAAAATTATTTTTATTATTTTATTTCTTAAAATTTTAAGTTTTAAAGATGAAAGGGGAAAAAAAGATTCTATTCTAAAAATATTATAGTGTTCCTTTTCTTTAACTTCTAATTCTTCTGACTCCAGCTTCTGTATCCTGGGATCACAGGTCTGCACCTCCACATTCAGTTTATGAGATGCTTGGGTGCTTCCAATTCACACTTGATAGGTGTATCATAGTAACCACATGCATACTTAGAGATGAAAAAGGACCAATACTTCTTTTTTTTTTTTTTGGTTTTTCGAGACAGGGTTTCTCTGTGTAGCTTTGCGCCTTTCCTGGAACTCACTTGGTAGTCCAGGCTGGCCTCGAACTCATAGAGATCCGCCTGGCTCTGCCTCCCAAGTGCTGGGATTAAAGGCGTGCGCCACCACCGCCCGGTGAAAAAGGACCAATACTTCTAGTAGAGCATGAACTAGAACTAGTCGGGGTGAAAGTTTACCCCTTTTTTTTTTTTTTTTTGGTTTTACGAGACAGGGTTTCTCTGTGTAGCTTTGCGCCTTTCCTGGATCTCACTCTGTAGACCAGGCTGGCCTCGAACTCACAGAGATCCGCCTGGCTCTGCCTCCCTGAGTGCTGGGATTAAAGGTGTGTGCCACCACCGCCCTGCGAAAGTTTCCCCTTCTTGATCTATTACTAAAATACTGCCATTGCTCTGTTATGGCCTTGGATGTCCACGTGATTTTGCTTATAATTTAGACATCTGAGAAACAAAAGCTTTATCTAGAAAGCTGAAGTCTACCTTGGAATGTACTCAGTAACACATCTTCATTCTAACTCACCTTAGAGACAGATGCCTTATCTCCACAAAGACTGAATGCAATATGACAGTATTTATTTAACAGCTACTATCTGTGAGGTGCTGGGATAAACACATGAACGAAAACAATCTTTGCTCTGGAGTTCCTTGTGGCTGGGTGAAGAGATTTGTGATTAACTCCATAAAATGTGACAAATACTATCAGAGTAGTAAATAATGATGCTATGGCTAGGTAGAGGACAGTAGGAAAGGCTTCACAGAACAGGCTATGCTTGAAGGGCCAATTGCAGTCTCCTACGTAGCCTTGGGAGATGTGATGTGTTCTGGGCAGACTAAGTGCAAAGGCTTGGGAGTCTAAAAAAGTAGGTGTGGTAGTCTGAATGTGATTGGCCCCATAAGCTCAGGGAGCGGCACTATTAGGTGTGGCCTTGTTAGAGGAAGTGTATCACTGTGGGGGTGGCCTTTAAGGTCTCCTTTACTCAAGCTTCACTCAGTGTGACACTCACTTCACTTCCTGTTGCCTGCATGCCAAGATGTAGAACTCTCAGCTACTTTTCCAATACCATGTCTGCCTGCATGCGGCCATGCTCCCCGCCATAATGGACTGAACCTCTGAAACTGTAAGCCACCTCAATTAAATGTTTTCCTTATAAGAGTTGCTGTGGTCATGGTGTCTCTTCACAGCAACAGAAACCCTAACTAAGACAGTATGATACTTGTCTCAAATAAATATAAATTAAGGTCATAACCCACCCTTCCTTTTCTGAAGAAGAAGAGCACTGTAGATAGAAGATGGAAAGAGCTGGGTGATTCTGGAGACAGGAAGGTGCTCACACATGTTGTGTTTGCTAGGGTCAGAGACAAAAGAAGGAAACCCGAGGGCTTATTTAATACTGCTATCCTTATGGGAAGAGTAAAGAGCTCTGTGGGCTTCACGGCCACCTGGGTCCTTTTGTGAACCTTCCCCTGCTCTCCTCTTCCCTCAGCAGAACTGGTCTCTTACTTTCCTAACATCTCTATGCACTTTGCAGCAAAGGTTTAGTAGACAGCCTAGAAACTTCGATGGGACAGTTTTGAAGGTAATGGAGTACATTATCTATCATCCAGGTTATTTAGGATCCTAATCTTTTCTGCTATGCTAAAGTTACAATGTTAGCACACCTGCCTTTTGGACTGTGTCAGACATGTCTGAATTAATTTATTAATTTACTATTACAGCTTTACAAAAGGATGATTAATTATGTTTGAATTAGGAAATTATCTCATGTTACTCAAGTGTCCCAGCATCCTATGGTTGCTATTAAAGACTTTGAAAGAGAAGACTTGGTTAAGCCATTATTTTTTCACTGAATTTAGCTCTCTCCAGTATGTATTATTCAGTAATATTTTCCAAAATTGGAGACTGTGCCTTCAAAAGGCTTAAAGTCTAGCAATTAGACTCACTTTACTATACACTCTTCTGTTGCTCAGATATTGTTTTTACCTTGCCTGTTATGGCCCATACCTGTGTAGTTCCAATCCTTCATTCCCTGCACTTCCTCCTATGAGGAGACCTATACCACAGCACTGAGTGGTGGGGAGGCAATGGCCCGT